TATGCTAAACCCTGCAGGTGGATTAAATTCCAGCATAGTAATAATGTGATGAACGAGCGCTAGCTTGGTGAAATAATAATAAATTAATTAATTCTTGATTGTCAGTAATCGAATTAAATAATGGACATTATATCTTAAACATGGGGAGATAAATTGAGTAATTATTATTGGAGTCTCAATTGTAAATTGGGCTATGAAAAGGGAGTGCAATAATATTATGTTGGAGGCCCATTTAATATTATTTAATTAATTAAAATAAGTGGCTTGGTCCACAAGTATTTTAATTATTTAAGGAGCCCTAATCCTAATCTCCTAAGGATCCTTAATGTAGCTCTATATATACATCATTAAGCTCATGGAAAGGGAAGAGAATTCCACAACTCGTGAAACACGCCTCACACGATATTCTCTCTCTCAGTTCTCATTCGAGTTTTATCTATTTCTTGTTGTTCCACCAGTACAAGATTAAGAGGTGTTTGAGATATACAATAGAAGATCCTTGGGTAAAGCGAGACGAAATATATTTTGTCGTACATAACTAACTAGAGATCCGATCAATACATGCAGCATACCCAGACGACCGCCTCGACAAGAGCTTTCTAACGTCGCTGAGATCGCAGCCGTCCGACCACCCACGCACCTGAACGCGCCGCCGCAAGGCCCCAAGACCGCAACTTGTCTTCATCGGTTTTGCACCCGTTTCATTCAGTTTTCGATCTGATCTTGTTCGTGCAATCTTAGGGCGTGATTTGCAGTCAAAAATTCATTGTTGTGCTCTGTACGACCATCCAGAAGATCAGTCAGATCGCCATAAATTTTAAGCCGTAAGTTCTCTACGCAAACCTTTAAATCTGCTGCGCATAGGTTTACGTTTTGCTATTGAATTCGTGATTTGTGCATAAGAAGATCCTCATAGATCCAAAAAGGTGGTATCAGAGCACTTGGTTTAATTCGTTGTTTACATGTTTAAATTTTTACGGCTTTATTTGTCAAGATGTGTTCAAACGCAGCCATATATTGGATTATATTCGCATAACTCGGTTTTGCAGGAATTAGTTTAATCCACTATTAAGGCCGATTATGTGTTTGATGAATGTGATGTATGGTTTTAAATTTGTTTTTAAAGCCTCGGACATGTCGAGGATTTGATGGATGAATGTTTGTAATAATTATTCGCGCGAGGCTTGACCGGATTGATTTAATTATTTGTTTAGAAAACATGTACATCCATTTGTTGGATCTAGGATCGGATTATGTAATTTTGTAAATTATATTTTTTGTGTTGTGATCGTGGATTAATTATCGGGAGATCACAAGAGATCAACGAGCCTCGAAAGACCAACCGGGACGAAGCCCGGAGGCACACACGGACATGTGCGGTTAAAAAAATTTCCGACCACCGGCGACGGCAGCCGGGCGGTGGCAAGGAGGCGGCGACGGCGCGCTGTCGGCGGTGGAGAGGTTTACTTGGTGTCCAAGCAGTACAAGATCTACAAGGATTCTACTGCAGTTAGAGTTCCAGTTGAACAGGGAAAGAATATACAAGGTTTCCTTATTTATGGGAACTCAATATTTAATAGCCATAATAGTGGATTTATTTATTTATTTATTTAAATTCATTATGCCATTATTTATTTATTTATTTATTTATGCATGTTAATTAATTATTGTATTTGCATGGGATTAATTTAGAATTGCTTATTTATTTATGCATGTTAATTATGGGATTAATTTAGAATTGCATATTTATTTATGCATGTTAATTAATTATTGCATTTACATAGGATTAATTTAGGATGTCAAAATACGCATAATTTTTTTTTCTCTCTTCTACAGTAAACCCTTGCGGACGCCGACTTGTCTTATGTGGATCTCCTCCGGCGGTGGGTGGTCGGATTAGCGGCCGTCTCTGGCTGCCCGCCAATCCCCGTCAACGATTTCCTCCGGTCTTTCCTGTTGCGGCTCATTTCAGGGTTTCCCCCTTTTCGGTGGCGTCTGAGGGGCATCTGCTTCGCGTTTTTGCTTCCTCCCTCGGCCGTCGGGTTCGGGTTGTTTTGGTTGCTGGAGGTTCCGGTTGGGGCTTGTGGTTTGGATTGGGGTTGTCGGAGTTGGGTTGCTTGGTATGATTCGGGGGAAGGTGGTTNNTGAGGTGGGTGGTTGTGGTCTGTGGGTTGGGGTTCCGGCGAGGGGAGCAGGTTGGGTTGTTTCGGGGAAGTTGGGGGTTTTCGTTGGGCGGCGATTGGGTTGGGGCCCCGGTGGCTTCTGTGCGGTGTGTGTGGCCGCTGTCGGGGCTGGGGTTCTGGCATGGGGCGACTATCCTGCCTCTCTCTGCTGTTGGGGAGGTTTGGGATCCGGTACACCCAAGTTTGGCTAGTGGTGTTAGCAGGACTTGGTTGTACTGGTTGGGGTTGCTGTGCTGGTTCTCCCTCGGTTTGAGGGTTCTGGCTCTTTGACCAGGTTCTGGGGCGGGGGCCTGCCTCTTGTATAGGCCTCGTGCAGTTTCGGGGGTGGGTCTTGGCTAGGGGCCTGGTCGAGAGTCAGATGTAGCTGTTGATTCAGTTCATCGGACTTCTGGGGGAGGATTGCTTTAGTTTTGTTAGTTTTTGTGTTTAGTTTGTTTAGTTCCTTCCCTTTTGGTAGTTTGTGCTTTCTGATTCAGTGTGGTTTAGTTTTGGAAATGATTCCAGGCTAGGCAGTGTGCAGTGGCTCTGATTATCACTTGCCTTTGTTGTCGTTTGTTGAGTCATTTAGGCCGCCATGTGCGTATCCTCTCAGCTTCTGTTTTCTGGTGTTTAGGTGTGTTTTTGGTTTGGGCCGTTGGCCCCTGTACTATTACCCTGTTGGGGTCCATCATTATCCTTTTGGGATCTTGTAGTCTGTAATTTTTGCACTTTTGTGCTTTTAATAGAACATTTATCGTTCCGGAAAAAAAAAATAGGATTAATTTAGAATTGCATAAATATTTAATTAAGTAAAAATCCTCTTTTAAATTATACTAAGTTTGAGAAGGGATTTTAAATTTAAGTTAATTGTAAAATTTGTTTGTCCCGTTTTTGTTGCTATTTTCTTTGCTATTTCGTGTGTCGTTTCCCCCGGTTTAGGCCCTTTCTTAGGTATTTTTGGTTCTTTTTAGTCGATTCTCGTGTTTCTGTATTATTTTGATGTGTTTAGTATTATCTTGGTTTTTCCCCCTATTTTCTCGTGTTTTTCGTGTTTGTTCGGTTGTGGTGGTTTTCAGGTTGCAGATGTTGAAAGTGATGCGCGGTTCTGGTTCTTGGGAGTTCAACACTGGTTCATACGACTTAAGCATGCGGAGACTGAATTTATAGCTCGGGCAGTACCCGAGAAATGCTAGACGAGAGCTCACGAGTTCAGAACTTGGAAATTTGGAAGCTGCCAAGGACAAAGCGCCGCTATGGCCACCTTGATAGAGGCGCTACATAGCTTAGCGATGGGCAGAAGGACGTTCCAGACCATAGCGCCGGTAAGGCCATAGCGCCGCTATGGCCAGATAAGGAAGCAGCGCTATGCAGCTTAACGATGGGCAGCAGCTCAAGCTGTTTCAACCATAGCGGCGCTATCCCCATAGCGTCGCTATCTCCATAACGCCGCTATCCCCCGTTTTGTAACAGCAGCTATTTTCTCGGGATTTCGAAGAAGAGGGTTAAGGGATCGAATTTTAGTCACTTTTTGAACATTCAGACTTGTTTTTTCATATTTTTCATTACAAAACACATCTTTCTCTTAATCTTTCATCTTGGATTGGATTTTGAGATTGAAGAACTCGTTTCTAGCTTTTGGATTCGGTTTTCTCGTTGTTTTATCGACATTGGATTTGGTATTAATCGTAAGCTTTTCTTTTCATCTTATACATGAATGTGATGGCTTCTTTTATTGTGAATGCTTGTGTTGATATTGTGATGAGTGGCCAATTCCATAAGTTAGGGGTAGGGGATAATTGTTGCGGTTTGTTCGATTACGTGTTTGATAATTGCTCTATCTATGTGAGTTGATCTCATCCTAGGGTTAGTTGATTGATCCCCAATTTAACCTAATTAATCGACGGTAGAACCGAAAGGGGAGACGTCGGTCGATTTAGGCTCGTTTGGAATATACTTGTTCGTTATTGTATTGTCTATGTGTTGTAGGGTTTTATGAGTTGCTCGTGTATGTTCACCTTCTTGTTACGAAGAGTTATTGAAGGTGAACCTCCATACGAGTAGGTGATTCAAACCCCGTAACCGAGCAATTGATTGCCCAGTAATTGAGTCAAGAACCAAAAACGATTGTCCCCGACTCCCTAACTCATTTATAATCAAGTTAATTCATTCGCTTTTGAATTTTCATGTTGCACTGTTTTATAATTTCTAGCTGATAATCAAAACCCCAAGCAATTGAATTAGAATGTTTAGGATTTTCATTTCTTTTGTTTTTTCATTTTTATGATTGAATATCCATACAAATAATCCGACTAACCTTCCTTGTGAGACGACCCGGTGTCGAATCTTTCGATTCTACTCCGGTAGAAATATTTACAACAAATTGGCGCCGTTGCCGGGGAAGGTTCAAGACTTATTTTGTGCGCCTATTCATTTTATTTTCGGTGTTTCTCTTATTTTCTGTGATTTCTTGTTTTTTTGTGTTTCTTTTGTTTTGTTTTCCTTGTCTAGTTTTATTGTTTTCTTTGTTTTGATTTCTCCTTGTTTCATTTTGTTGTCTATCTGGTGCCCGTAACGTTTTTGTTGTTTGTGTTTATGCGTACCAGGAGTGGTCGTGTAATCATCCCAAACGACGAATCCATCCAACAGGACCTACGAGACTTACTAGCCAGTCTTGCACCAGTATCATCTACATCGGAAGACCGAACCGACATGGCACAGAATGAGCAAGATGAGGAGGTTAACAATCCTCCTAGGTCTCTTCTTCGTGATTTGGCTCAACCGGTGATTGGGCCAGTGACTTCGTGCATCCGACTAGGGACAGCAGCTCGGAACTACGAGCTCAAAACCATCCACTACAACCAACTCCCATCCTTCCATGGTCTTCCCAATGAAGATCCACTTCATTTCATGCGTGAATTCTACAATGTCCTCCAAACATTTCCACTCCACGGACTAAATGAGGACCAGTTGAAGATGAGGAGTTTTCCAGAAATACTCAAGGATCGGGCTAAGGCATGGTTGATGACACTTGCTCCAGACTCTCTTACCACTTTGGAGCAAGTGTACACGAAGTTCATCGGGAGGTATTACTCCCACCAAAAGACTCAAGAGCTGCGGTCCCAAATTTTTTCTTTTGCCCAACAACCGCACGAGCCACTTCACGAGGCGTGGGAACGCTTCAAGGACCTTCAGAGACAGTGCCCACACCACAACCTTCCTCCGGCCCTTTTGATGAATGGCTTCTATGACTCTCTCCACCAGAACCTTCAGTACATGGTGGACAATGCAGCGGGTGGAGACATTGGGGCGAGAACAGTGGAGGAGATGATGGATATCTTTGAGGCGTTGAGTTCTAGCTCGTCTCAAAAGAGCAGTCGACGAAAGAGAGCAGTAGTGAATGAAGCATCTCCGAGGCAAGACATGATGGCCCATCAGATAGCTGAGCTTACAGAGCAAATGCGGCTAATGAATGCTCGGACAATGCAGCCAGTCCAGACTATGGCAGTGGATACATGCGGGGCGTGTGGAGCCCAAGGGCACCGGTCAGAGGTGTGCCCATCGGCATTCGATCAGGACCTTGGACATCAATATGCCGACGTTAATGCTCTTCAAGGATATCAGAACCGGCAGCCCAACGACCCCTTCTCGAATACTTACAATCCAGGGAGGAGAAACCACCCACACTTCTCGTGGTCCAACAACAACAACACTCTCCAGCCACCTCGTCCAAATTTCAACCAACAGCAGCCTCGACCAAACATCATGCAGCAGCAATCCCGCCCCAACTTCATACCCCGTCTGAACTACAAACAACAACAGCAACCCCAACTACAAGCCCAAGGGTCCGGATCAAGCTCGTCAAACCAAGATGACAAGCTGGACAAGATCCTCCAGTTCATCACGAACCAAGATTCATCGATTAAACATCTTGAGACGCAAGTGGGCCAACTTGCCACGAGAGTCGGGAACATGGAAGCTGAGTTCGACAAAGGGAAACTTCAGAGCCAGCCCGAGAAAGCCAAAGCAATAACTGTGTTGAGGAGCGGTAAGGAAGTCGACAACAAAGTGAGAATACCCGAGCCCGATGACCACAAACCAATCGACCAGCCCAAAGAAACCGAGGAGAGTACGAAGAGCACATAAACCAACTCGGGAAAACCAACAGAAAGTCCTTTGCTTCACAAGTCTCCAAACCCTTACAAGCCACGCATCCCTTTTCCGAGTAGACTCCGAGACGAGAAGCAAGAGCAGCAATTCTGGGACCTCTACAACAGGCTTTCGAAGGTCAACGTGAACTTGCCTCTCTTAGATGTGATCAAGAACATGCCGTCATATGTGAAATTTTTCAAGGATTTGGTCACCAAGAAGAGGAAGTTCGGCGATGGGGAGAAAGTAGTGGTCTATGAGGCGGCTAGTGCCATGCAGCATGATCTTCCCAAGAAAGAACGAGACCTCGGAGGATTCGTGATAAAAATTGCTCTCGGGAATGGCAAAGAAGCTTCGGGGATGCTCGACCTCGGAGCGGGAATCAACCTCATGCTGTTTTCTATCTTCCAGCAGCTCGGCTTAGGAGATTTGAGACCCACTCGCATGTGTCTTCAGCTCGCAGACCGTTCAATCAGATACCCCAAGGGGGTAGTTGAGGATGTCCTTGTTCGGGTCGAGAGACTCATTGTCCCGGTAGACTTTGTGGTACTGGATGTGGGGGACGTACATGAGAACGGGAAAGACCACACCATCCTTCTTGGCAGACCATTCATGGCCACCACCAACACACTCATTGACGTGAAGAATGGGACATTGAACATGACAGTCCTAGGAGAGTCCGTGTCCATTTCCGTCCGAGAAGCTACATCAGCATCCTCGGTGAACTATATGGAGGAGTGTTCGTTCGTTGATGTGAGTGATCCTTTTGTCGAGAAGATGGGAATACGTGACTTGGAAGAGAGGTCATTGACCGATCTCGAAGAGGAAGAAGGACCGTTTATTAAGCTGATAGAGGTCGAGGAATCGAGACCGAAGGCCCCACCAACGTTAGAGTTGAAAGAGTTGCCTCGTCACCTCAAGTACTTTTTCCTCGATGACGAGAAGCAAAAACAAGTTATCATTTTTGCCGAGCTTAACCGGGACGAGGAGAAGGAGCTGATTGGCGTCCTTAAAAAGAATCAGAAAGCCATTGGCTGGAGCCTAGGTGACATTAAAGGCATCAGCCCTTCCACGTGCATGCACCGGATCACTCTGGAGGAGGGTGTCAAGCCATTTCGGGATAGCCAACGGCGGCTGAACCTGAACATGATGGAGGTGGTGAAGAAAGAAATATTGAAGCTCTACTCCGAGGGGCTCATTTATCCAGTGGCCGATAGCGAATGGGTCAGCCCGATCCATGTGGTGCCTAAGAAAGGGGGTATCACCGTTATCGAGAACGAGAAAAAAGAGATGGTTCCCACCCGCATCACTACCGGGTGGAGGATGTGTATTGACTACCAGCGACTCAATGCCGTGACCAAGAAGGGCCACTTTCCATTGCCGTTCATTGATCAAATTCTCGATCATCTCTCCAGCCACCAGTTCTATTGCTTCCTAGATGGCCTCTGGGGCTACTACCAAGTGGCCATAGCTCCGGAGGATCAGCCCAAGACAACCTTCACGTGCCTATTCGGCACATTTGCTTCCAGATGGATGCCATTCGGCCTATGCAATGCACCCGGAACCTTTCAATGGTGCATGTTCTCCATATTTTCCGACATGCTGGAGGATTGCTTACAGGTATTTATGGATGACTTCTCTATTTTTGGTATTTCATTTTCTGATTGTCTCCATAACTTATCTCATGTCCTTGAGAGATGCATTGAATGTAATTTGACTTTGAGTTGGGAGAAAAGTCACTTCATGGTGACTAGTGGAGTTGTGCTAGGTTATGTGGTGTCGAATCGGGGGATTGAGGTTAACAAAGCAAAAGTTGATGTTATTGAAAAACTTCCCCCGCCTGTGAATGTGAAAGGTGTTAGGAGCTTTTTAGGTCATGCTGGCTTCTATAGGCGATTTATTAAGGATTTTGCGAAAATCAGCCAGCCTTTGTGTCACTTGCTTGCCAATGGTGTGCCATTTTTGTTTGATAATGCATGTGTAGATGCCTTTGAGAAATTGAAAAATAAACTTGTGACTGCCCCTATAGTAATTGCTCCTGACTGGTCGTTGCCTTTTGAAATTATGTGCGATGCTTCAAACCTTGCTGTTGGAGCCGTTTGAGGCCAACGAGTTGATAAATTGCTTCGAGTAATTTATTACGCTAGTTTGACCTTGAATGGTGCCCAATTGAATTATACGACCACTGAAAAAGAACTTTTAGCCGTTGTATTTTCCCTTGAGAAATTTAGGTCTTACATTCTAGGGTCTAAAGTGATTTTGCATTCTGATCATGCGGCTCTTAGGTATCTTTTGAGTAAAACTCAATCGAAACCTAGGCTTATTAGGTGGATTTTATTGTTGCAAGAGTTTGATGTCAAAATTCGTGATAGGAAGGGCTGAGAAAATGTTGTTGCTGACCACTTGTCTCGTATTATTCCTTCTGATCCTTCACTTGCATTGCATGAACAATTTTGTATAAATGATGATTTTCCATATGAGCATGCGAGTGAAATAACTAGTGTTCCTTGGTATGCAGACATAGTGAATTATCTATCAGATGGTGTTTTGTTAGCTAATCTCTCTTCCCAAGAGAGGAAACGTCTTGTGTTGATGTGCAGGAGTTACTTTTGGGATGACCCACTCCTTTTCAAGTTGGGAAAAGACGATATCCTTTGGAGGTGTGTGCCCGAATAAGAACAATTGGACGTCCTCACCTTTTGCCACGATCTTCATTGTGGAGGACATTATGGAGGTCGAAAGACCGCCTTTAAGGTTCTCCAATCAGATTTATTCTGGCCTATACTTTTTAAAGATGCTCATGAATTTTGCAAATCTTGTGATCGTTGTCAAAGAATTGGGAATATTGGCCCAAGGAATGAGATGCCCCTTGTGAACAATTTGCAAGTTGAAATTTTTTATGTATGGGGCATTGACTTCATGGGACCATTTCCCAAGTCTTTTGGCTTTGAGTATATACTTCTTGCTGTGGATTACGTGTCCAAGTGGGCCGAGGCTATCCCCACTCGGACATGTGATGCTAACGTTGTGATCAAGGTTTCGCAAAGTCATGTCTTGAGTAAGTTCGGATTTCCACGAGCTATTGTGAGTGACGGGGGCAAACATTTTTGCAACCGAGTGTTTGAGAAGTTGATGAAGAAGTACGGGATTTCTCACAAAGTGGCAACCCCATACCACCCACAAACTTCGGGCCAAGCTGAGACGAGCAACAAACAAATCAAAACTATTCTTGAGAAGACGGTGAACTCGTCTAGAAAGGATTGGTCAAACCGGCTCGATGATGCACTTTGGGCCCAACGCACAGCGTATAAGGGAGTTTTGGGGATAAGCCCGTTCCAGCTCGTCTACGGGAAAACTGGCCATTTGCCGGTTGAAATAGAACACAAAGCGTTCCGGGCAATTAAACTAATGAATTTTGATCTTGATGCCGCTGGAAAAGAAAGGATGTTGCAACTCTCGGAGCTCGAAGAACTGAGGAACGAAGCCTACGAGAACTCAAAGATCTACAAAGAAAAGACAAAAAGGCTTCATGACGCTACCATAGTTCGAAAGAATCTTGTGCCCGGCATGAAAGTGCTCTTGTACAATTACCACCTTCGTCTCTTTCCGGGAAAGCTCAAATCAAGGTGGAGCGGGCCTTATATCATAGATGAGGTGTTATCACTTGGAGCCATTCGACTTCACAATCCTGCGAATAGCGAGCTATTTGTTGTGAATGGACAAAGAGTGATGCCTTATTTCGAAGGATAATTTGGGAAGCATCATGTCGAGACCATCAGTCTCGGCGAACCCCTGTATCCTTGATCAAATCTATGCCGAGCTCCCGGCTTAAAACTGAGCGATTAATTGTACTATATGTATTTATATCTATTTATATTTTGTTTATATATATATATATATATATATATATATATATATATATTT